ATCTGCCAAACCCTGCGCTCCATCACGCTGCCTGTGCTCTGGTTTGGAGAGCTGGAGCTGCAGGGCCAGCCCCCCTCCCTCCCCGGGGGGGGGGGGGGGGGGGAGCGGGGGGGGGGGGGGGGGAGGGAGGGAGGGGCTGGCGTCACCTAGCTCATCTGCAACGCTAGAGCTAGGGAAGCCGTGGGCTGGACACCTTTCTCGGTTGGGGAAGGGAAGATGGCAGGAGCAGGGAGATTGCGGCACCGCTGCAAATCACCTCTGTCTGACCTTCCTCCTCCCTCAGCCTGAGCGCTCGCTTTGCTGCCAGGTCCCACGTGTCGCCTTGCATGGAAGAGCAGCAAGGAGACCCAGCTGCGATCAGGGGCCTGACGCAGTGGCGGGGAACAGCTCTCAGACGCGCCCTGCGGACTGAGAACCGAGTCGGGTGCTGGAGGGAGAGGCAAAGGTAGGGGCTAAATTAGCAGCCCCCTTCTCTGAACCGTAAGCCCTAAAGGTGCACATCACCACCGCGAGACTGCCTGCAAGCAACGCTGGGGAAGAAAAGGGGAGCAGGGCTAGCACGGAGCCAGCGGATCGGCGAGGATGGGGCAGCTGCTGCTTTGGCCCGAGCTGCATGGCGGTGCTGCGCGAGCCCCGAGCGAGGCAGTGCCAGGCTCCAGCCGTGAGCTCTGCCACCCCACGTCCACCGTGACTCAGGCACGCGCCCTGCACGCCACGGGCCACCGGCTCACAGCCAGGCTGGACAGCCAGGCTTGAGGTTCTCCTTCCTCACCAGCGCTGGGGTTGCTGCCCTTTTCCCGGAGAAGAGCCCCTTCCAGCCCCGCTGTGCCCCGGGAAGAGGCAGACTCACCTCCACGTTGTACTTCTTGCGGGCCTTACTCACTTTCACCGCAAGGTGCGTAACCAAGACGAAGCTGGCAGCCCCCGTCAGGATGACGTAGCCGTACTCCTTGGAGAGAACAACCATCTTGGCACTGTGAGAAAGGAGAGACCGGTACTTTTTTAGGATGTGACTGGAGAAGACGCAGCAGATTACGTGCAGGAGTGGGTGGGCGTGGAAGAGTCGCTGAGAATGGACCTAAGTCCTCCTCACCCGGGGCCTGGCTAAAGGAAGGGGGAAACTGTGAGTCAGGGAGTTTTCGCCTAGGACTCTTCGTTTTGGAAAACAGGCAGACTGGGAGGTGTTCAGTAAGGTGTGCAAAAGCTAGAGAGGGTGGACAGGAACTGATTGTTCACTGCCACTTCCGTCACCAGAACTAGGGGTCATCAGATGAAGCCAGGAGGAGACAGGTTCAGCGCAAACCAAAGGAGTGGTTTTTCCTGCAATAGGAAATAGGCCTGTGGAGCGCCTTGCCGAAGGATGTTGTGGATGCAGGCAGTTTTCATGAATTCAAGGGGAGACTGGGCAAACGCTGCCTTCAGTTGGGGCTTATTATATAGACAAACTACAGCTGGCTCAGAAATCCTCTGAGCTGAAAGGAGCTGGGCTATATCAAGCGTTAGTCTGAACCGCTAAGGCCATTATTATGAAATAACAAAACCCACCACAACATTAACAATAATACTAGAACCTTTTCAGCCAAGAGGCATTCGCAAGATGAGCGACGCAAGGAGCCGGCTCGGAGTCTCGACTCAGAGTCCGAGAACGCTCCGCCCACGAGGCCCCAGCCGCCGGTCCGTACCGAGAGCCGCGCAAGCCCCCCTGAAAGCTGGGAGACACCGGCGCTTGTGGTTTGCGTTTAACGGTTCTGCATTTCCTTGCACAGACCTGAGACCGAGGCACCGCGCGGGAGGCTCAGCTAGCAGGGTCCTGCCTTGTGCTGCCCCGCCGAAGGCTGCTGCCTGCTCCCCAACCTGCCGAACCCGCCGTTGGCCTGCGCCGCCGCGAGACGCTCAACGCCGAGCACGCTTGGGACCTTCCCCAGCTGCAGACGAGCAGCAAATAATTGCCCTTCCGGTGACCGTCTGACACCGGTCCTATTGCATGATCCCAAACCCCAGAGGTCCCTGCCCACGTGACCCGAGACGGCGCTGTGCGGCACATCAGGGCGGAAGATGGAGGTGGCCTCTCTCCAGCACTGAGGAAACTCCCTCCCAACCAAACTGTCCCACCAGCAGACTATGCCAGCAC